TGGAACTAGATGGTCTTTAAGGTCCCTTCCAACCCAAACCAGTCTGTGATTCTATGATTCTATGATTCTATGAAATAAATCAATGGGAAGAACATCAAATTTGGGGTTTTCTACATTCCTGACAACAAAGAGGCCTGAGGGGTTATGTGCAAAACAGGGAACTGGTTTTAGGTTAATGCATGGCTGACTCGAGAAGTGCTTGATTTCAAGTTCTTTTCTTCAAAAACTTGAATTACCTTTTCCCCCCCTTGTTTTCTTTGTTAAGAAACTTCAATTCAAGGTGTTTCTTTTGCTGTTACAAGTGTTCCTCGGTTGGGCACAGATCAGTAACAGGCTGGAGCCCCCCCGCCCCCGCCCATAAGCTGTAATGGCAAGGGCAAGCAGCTGTGTAGCTGTCACACCGCCCCGGCGTGTGCTGGTGCTGCTGCCCCGGCTGCAAGAACAGAGGCAAAGAAGCAAATGCAGGTAACACCCCCACAACTTTATTTTCTGCACCTTTTCAGGCCCTTGTTTTCTTCCAAAGGGCAGGATATTTGGCTTTGTTTTCCTTACCTGTCTCTGTAGAGGCAAACTCCCCATTCAGGTTCCCAGCTTTCCTAATTAGCACATTTTGCAGCCAAGCAGCTATGGAAAAATGTCTCAGTAAAGATGCTTAAGGGAGAGCGTTTTTTCCTAGATATTTCACCCTAGGAGCCTGAATTTGGTTCTGCTGGGGAGGGAGCCCCAGTTCCCTTGCAGGTAACACCAGCACGCTGTATATAGCCTCTTCACAAGGCAGAAATTAGCTTAGGGGGTTGTTTTACAAGCTCAGGAGTCTGCTTGGAGGCAGTTGACTGCTTTCTGGGTGTCTTCACCAAAGTGAAGGAAATATTTTTTTCCTTTTCAAAGTGTTTTGCTGTCTGTTTTCATAGATAAAGAGTGTTGTGGCTGTTTTGTACAACAGGCAAGGAATATGCTGCTGGCTCGCCCCTGTAAAAGCTCCTGTTTTGGGGTATTCCTGAATTTCTCAGTTGGTGTGTGTGTGAGAGAGAGACAGAGTGCATTTAGTTTTTGATAAACCCGGGACAGAGTTGTGCAGCTGAAGTTTGGGCTTGAATATTACTGCTGGAGTCGGTGAGAGCTTCATTCTTGCCAGCTGGTGGGAAGCTGAGCCTGGGGTAGAGTCAGGCTGATTTTCCAGGTCAGCCCTGTTCAAGCACCTCATTCAGCTTCTTGGAAAACCACAGCTGAAGGGTGACACCGGGAGTCCAGGAGCAGACGTGAGAAAAAAGGTCTCGGTTCCCTGTACAGCTGTATTCTAAAACATTAAGCACTCTGCTGTGTTTGCTCTGGGAGTCAGACCTGCTTTATTTCCTACACCCACTGCAAAAGGCAAAGAAGGGAAGCTTTCATAGTTCCTGGAAGAAGAAAACATTACTGAAAGACAGTTTATTGGGGTTAAATACCCATGATTTGCAAGTAAACTCAGGTTTATAATCTGCAGTAACCTTAAGGATAATTAACCAAGCTGTGCTTGACTTTTTTCCCTTGGAGAAGAGGGAACTCCCTAACCCCCAACAGCTGCAAAGGTGCTGCTAATTCTTTCCAATAATCCAAAAGGAAAATAAAAGAAAAGCAGCTCAGGAGAAGTGAGAGCTGGGTGTTCAGTGGTGGGTGGCAATAGCTGGTTGTAAGGGAAGGGCATGAATCAAGGCTGTGATTTGAAATTGCCGTTACAGGAGGGCTTGCTGTAAAGGCAAAATGCAGCTAAACCAGGAGACCGAGCAGCCTGCCCGCTGCTGAGCCTCAGTACTTGTCTCCTCTCTCTGGTCAAGTGCCTGTTTTTTCATCACACGATTGACTCCGTGGCTGTTTTGTTCAGGCTGAAAGACTGGCGCACTTGCTGGAGGAGGTAGTCAATGCAGAGGTCCTGGGGCCTTGAAAAAGCAAGGATTAATAGGTTTGCTGCCGCTGAGCTCTGCACCCAAGTCAGCACTGAACACAGGCTCTCGCCAGCAGCGAGGTGGCCAGGCGGCAGACCTTCGGGGTGCCTTGGCTGGGAAGAGGAGTCAACGTCCCTGGGCGTGCGAGTAGCTGGCAGCGGCCATCTGGGCTGTCCGGGGTGGAGGGCTCAGGCGTGACCCTCAGGGTCCTGCCATGCAAAGGGTTGCACAGCCCACGCTCCCCACGTGGAAATTTAAGCAAGCCACTGGGCCTATCCGCCTGCATTTCATGGATCATGTGGAATTCTTTGACATTTAAAAGCAGCAACAGAGCACCTAAGCCTGGTGTCTGGGAGCAAGGCACAGGCAACCGCTCGATTTGTAATCTCT